GAGGCCAGGCAGGCAGAGGAGGCTTTCTTGAACAAAGGTGGAGCTGGAGAACGGAGGTCCTTTGAGGACCCAGGACTGAGGCCTCAGAACCTGGGGCAGCATCACCCTCAGGTTCTGTCAATTTGTGGGATTGACTTGTTTGGGTTTTTATTAGATTGATTTATTTTGTGTACACATGGGTGGGTCAGCGCATGCCACAGCACGCATGTGGAAGAGGTTAGATGACGACTTGCAGGAGTGAGTCCTTTCACCATCTGGGTTGCTGGGATTGGACTCAGGTTGTCCAGCTTGGCAGAAAACACCCTTTGCACCCTGAGCCATTTTTAAAGCTTTTTTTGGTTTTTCGAGACAGGGTTTCTCTGTGTAGCTTTGGAGCCTCTCCTGGCACTCTCTCTGGAGACCAGGCTGGCCTCAAACTCACAGAGATCCACCTGCCTCTGCCTCCTGAGAGCTGGGATTAAAGGCGTGCACCACCAACACCCAGCTTTCTAAAGCTTTTTTAAAAGATTTATTTATTTATTATGTAGAGTGTTCTGCCAGCATGTGTATGCCTGCATGCCAGAAGAGGACACCAGATCTCATTACAGATGGTTGTGAGCCACCATGTGGTTGCTGGAGATCAGACTCAAAACCTCTGGAAGAGCAGCCAATGCACTTAACCACTGAGCCATTTCTCCAGCCCCCAACCTTTTCTTTCCTTTTAAGATTTATTTTTATGTGTGTGAGTGTTCTGCCTACATATTTGTATGTGCACCACATGTATGCAGTGCTCACAGGGGCCAAAAGAGTGTGTTGGATCCCCTGGAAGAGTTATAGACAGTTATGAGAAGCCATGTGTGTACTGGGAATCAAACCTGGGTCCTTGGCATGAGCAGCCAGTACTCTTAACCACTGAGTCATTGTACCTGCACTGTTTTAGTTTTTAACACTCTCCAATAGTGAAGATCAAGTCGACAATCCACCTTTACTCTGACCTTGTTTCCAGTTACCGTTTTGCTCCATACAGTGAAATGCTAGTCTAGAAAGAAGCAGTGTCCAGGAGAGAGATGATGGCTGCCACTGTGCCAAGTGAGACAGCCTTCCAAGCTCCTTCTTGGTTTGTTACAGAAAGAAAAGAATCTGATATTAGCACTGAAAAACACCACCCTGCGGCAGGAGGTTGAGGACCTACAGTACCAAGCTGGGAACAGATTGACCATATCAAGGTAATCATCCCCCTTTCTCCCACTGCTAACCTTCTGCCAGAATTTCCAGCTGAGAGGGACCCGGAAGAGCCTGGGGACTAGATTGACAAGTGAGCCCAGGACCTGTCTTGGGAACATGACTCCTCTTTCCTTGGGAGTCAAGAAGCCCAGTTTCTCAACATGAGAAAGAGGAAACAGGAAACAGGACACAATCCACCTGAACAGCCATGCTTGCAACAGATGGGTCCTGAGGCTTTGTAAGTGAGCGCTAATGTCCCATGTCATCGGCAGTTGAATACTTGACATATTTTCTGGTGGGAATCCTCCTCTGGATCCTAAGAGCTGGGTCCTGTTATCTCTGTTCAATGATGAGGAAACTGAAACTCCATGTCACCTAAGGTGACCCAGCTAGGTTTGAGGCTCGGCCTGGAGCCACCCAGAGCTACACCTGTGAGGATTTGGCACTTGGTCAACAAATAGAATCACCCCTCACATGCCTGCAGGCAGAGGGGGGAGGTGTTGGAGGAACACCTTGGAGAGAGCTGGTGACCCCCGCCTCAGGAATGGGGGAATGGGTTGGTTCAAGCTCCCTCAGGCAACCCCTGTTCTGTTGGTACCACAGGCAGTTCCAGAAAGATCTACTTCAGGACCTGGAGAAGGAGTCACAGGTTGGCCACTGCTGCAGCAGACGGAGAAGCCACTGAACCATCTGAGTCCTGGGGGCCCGTTCCTCCTCCTCCATATTACCCTGCCCTCTGCTGCACCTCAGAGGCCTCTGTCCTCATCGTGTAGACACAAGGCCTGGACCTACCATGGCTCCCAGACTCACTGCTCCCTCCGAAGTCTGTGGAGGAGAGAGCAAGACTCGGCTCTTCTCCCAGGATGGATCAGGAGGAGATGTATATAGGCAGCAACGCTGATGGCAGAGGTTGCGCTACCAGAATCACCCAAGAAGTGCCTTCCCTTAGTTGGCCCAGGGAACAAGCAAGCAGAGTTGTAGTTGTCGTCATGTCCTGTCCCCTTGCTTCCCCACCCACAAACCCCGACCACCCACCCTGTCCTCATGAGGGCTTTCAAGACTTCTCTCATGGCTGCTGGCACCATTTTTGTTCATCTGACAAAGAGGGGACAGCACCCCCTGCCAGACCATCAGCTTTACAAAGAACACACCAACCCATCAAGTTCTTATTATCACACCTGTAATTCTTCCTCAGAGAAAAACTGCAAAACACAATCCAAGAAGAAAGAATACAGGAGTGTTTCTGTTGAGATGGGGGTCTCACCATGTAGCCTAACCTTGAACTCAAAACCACCATGCCTCAGCCTCCTGAGTGCTGGGAACACGGGCATGTGCAGCCACATCCAGCCAGATAAAGAGTTGAATTTGCTGTAGTGCTAAGCACTGTAAATATTTTTAAGCATATTTATCTAAGGTCTTAATGTGAAAATTAAATCTTTTTTTAAAAATAAAACTATATTTTCATGTTCCTTTCAGTGAGGATATATTTCATCCTGTGTTGTCTTATTTTGCTGCTGCTGTGGTAAAATTCACTGACAAGAGCAACTTAAGGGAGGAAGGGCTCTTTTCGACTTAGGGTTACAGGGGGATAGAGTTTTTCATGGGAACAGGAGCATGAGGCCTGCCTGTCATGGGGCATCAACACTCAGGAAAGAGGGCAAGGCTATTAAGCCTGAAGGCTAATCCCCAGCGACATACTTCATCCAGCAAGGAAGTGGCCTAGAGGTTCCAAAACCTTCCCAAACAGTGACATCAGCTGGGGATCATGTGTTCAAAACATGTGAACCTATGAGGGACATGTCATATTCAAACCACATTTGTCAGGACATGCTAATCCTTTTACATGCTGTGTTCTTAGAAAGTATACCACATAGGTCAGTGTAGGGAAGTGGGAGTTATATTCTGCATATCAGATACTTATAACCCCTTTGGGAGTTATATCCTGCATATCAGATACTTATAATTCGTGACAGTTGCAAAATTACAGCTATTAAGTAGCAACGAAAATAATTTTATGGTAGGGGTCACTACAACATGAGGAACTGTATTAAAGGGTCATAGCATTAGGGAGGTTGAGATCCGATGGTGTATCAGATTTGGATAGTTTCACATTCTAAGCTGCCCTGAAACAATTCTAATTGAAATATCGCATGTAGCCATCTTTGAACAGATCATTTTCTTATACTGATTTGTCAGAAGGGTCACCTCTGGTGGGCTGCAGAGGGGTCTTGCACACTTTTTAAACAGTTTGTTTTCATTTATGTATATGTGCACGTGCCTCCGTGTGCGGGTGCCTGCAGAGGCCAGAGCTGGGTGTCAGATCCCCTAGAGCAGGAGTCAAAAGTAACATGAGTCACTTGACTTGGGTGCTGGGAACTGAACTCAGGTCCTTTGGAAGAGCAATGGGTGCTCTTACTTGCAAAGTCATCTCTCTAGTCTCTTTAGAAAAAAAATTCCTGTTTTTTGGTTTGTTTGTTTGGTTTTTTTTGTTTTTGTTTTTTGTTTTTGTTTTTTTTTTTTTTGTGTGTGTGTGTGTGTGTGTGCTGGTGCAGGTGTATGCATGCCTGTGGAGACTATTGCTGGGGACAGGAACTATGAGTAGAGAAGTAGCCAGGGAGCAGTGGTGTGGGAGGGCAGAGGCCAACCAAAATCTCCAGTCCTGACTTCTCCAGGACAGCAACAGCAAGTAAAGTCCCTTCCCAGGGTCCGTCATGGAGAATGGGGCCAATCAGAGCCCTGCTCAGAAAAGAAACAAGGATATAGACCAGAAAGGAGGAACTGAGAGGGAGCATTGGGGTCACAGAAGGGTCACGGGGAGGGGTTAGGACAAAAATAAGTGAGTGTAGCTGTGGGAGGAGGTGAGACTTATGCTGGCTATTACTGCCTCTGCATAATTTTTTCAAATTATTTTATGGGATTTTTTTTGTCTGCCTGGTGCCCTTGATGGTTGTGAGCCAACATATGGGTGCTGGGAATCAAACTTGGGTCTTGTGGAAGAGCAGCTGGCGGGCTTAACAGCTGAGCCATCTCTCCAACTCCTCTGCGTAACTTCTGAGGGAAGAAAGCCTTTAACTTTATTGTTTGTTGAGACAGGATCTCATTCAGTCCAAACTGCCCTCAAACTGTCTATGTAGCCCAGGATAGCCTTCCACTTCTGATGCTCCTGCCTTAGTCCCCTGAGGGCTGGCATTACAAGTGTGCTGCTGCTGCTGCTGCTACTACTCTCCCTCACACACACACACACACACACACACACACACACACACACACACACACACACACACACGCTCGTGTGTGCATGCACCTGAGTAGGTGTACTTGCAGGTGCCCATAGAGGTCAGAAGAGGGCACTGGAAGTTGCATGGTTTCAAGTCTCCCCACATTGCCCCTGGGAGAGAACTGTAAACTGCTAAGCCATCTCTTCAATCCTCCTGACTAACATTTTTTTTTTTTTTTTTTTTTTTAGACAGAGTTCTACTATGTAGCCTTAGCTAGCCTGGAACTCACTTCGTAGACCAGGCTGGCCTCAAACTCACAGAGATCCACCTATCTCTACCTCCCAAGTGCTGGGATTAAAGTCACAACCCCCCAAAGTAATGTTTTTTGTTTGGTTTGGGGTTTTGTTTTGGTTTTTGTTGTTGTTGTTGTTGGGGGGGATTTTTTGTTTGTTTGATTGTTTTGGGGGGGTTTCAAGACAGGGTTTCTCTGTGGCTTTGGAGGCTGTCGTGGAACTAGTTTTTGTAGAGCAGGCTGGCCTCGAACTCAAAGAGATCCGCCTGCCTCCCTCCCGTGTGCTGGGATTAAAGGCGTGCGCCACCACCACCCACCCAAAGTAATGTTAAATGAAGGAAAAATAGTATTTGGTGTTTCAGTGTCCATATAACATCTTGAACACAGCCACATGTACTGTTCGTGGTTATGTTTGCACTACAGCAGAAGCTTGGCTCATCTAACCTCAGATCGTGAGTGTCCAGCTTCATACAGAAAAGGCATGCAGACATTGACCTTCGATGTCCCTAAAAGCATTTTCCATTAAATGACATATAAAGAATCTTCTCAGAGAGCAAACCATACAGAAAAACCTTAAATACTAAGGCTGGGATGTAGTGCTTATCTGGCATACACAAAGTACCACATAAACCCAGTGACATATCACAAAACTATAATCTCAAGCACTAAGGAGGTGGAGGCAGGAGGATTAGAAGTTCAAAGTCGTCCTTGATTACAGAATGAGTTTAAGGCCAGCCTGGGCTATGTGAAATTTCATCTCAAACAAGGGGCGGGGTGCATATATCATAGTTCTAAGAGTTTGTTTTCTTTTTACAGCTTTACGCTTTGCATATTTTAATGTTTTTGGTTTGGGCTTTTGCTTTTAGAATTAGATTTTTGCTTCCCTGCACCTAAGGAGGGCCTGTGCCTGGAGAATCTCTCCAGGGTTCTCTGCAGAGCTTGGCAACTAGCCTAGTGAATTTGGTCCTCACTGATTGCTCTGCCCCCTGCTGGCTGACCTTGCCTCATCGAGGCCTAGGTTTCCTATCTGTTTAAGGACAGTTTTGGCTCCCCAGGCTCTCCCGTTCTTCAGTGACTGATCCTAAAGGTTGGAAGATGCATAAGGAGAGCAGTGGTTTAACTGCTGTCTCAGACTCAACAGTCTCGAAGGATGTGCTGAGATCTGTTCAGAACACACACTCTGAGTTTGCAGGGGATAAGCCTCACATGGATGGTGTCCGCGTCTCCGGGATATCCAGCATGCAGGATCTGCTCAAGGTCCTGGGGAGTGAGCCTTTATGTCCTCGAGTGTGCTATATAGATTCTAAATCCAGCCTGGGGGCATTGAAGGCTCTCAGAGCACCTGTTCCTCTCTACCCTATTGTACTTTTCAGTTTGCCTCTAGTCCTTCTGGGGTGAGCTTGTGGCCCTCAAAGCTGGATAAGGCCTGGATTACTCATACTTGACTCCCAGAGCCTTAGAAAGGCACCTGGCACTTTGTGGCTTTAGATACATATTGGTGAGTGGATGGATGGAGTGGGTGGGTAGATGGATGGGTAGATGGGTGAGTGGACAGATGAGTGGATAGATGGATAGCAAATGGCTGGGTTGGGGGTTAGATGGGTGAGTATCCAGATAGATGAGTAAGTTGATGAATGTATGGATCAGTGGATAGAGAGAATTGGTGAATGGCTAGATATAAAGATAGATAAGTGAGTATATTTATGGATGGATGAGTGCATGGGTGAGTACATGGGTGGTTTTAATAGCAGGGACAGGGCTTCACCTTCTTTTCTAATCCAAGGATTTCTGAAGGGACAAAGGATAGATGAGGACAAGAGGTCCAGGATACATTATGAAACTGGAAAAGTCACTCCCTTCCTGGTGTCTAGTCTTGGGCAATTTACAGTGTGGGTAATATGTGTCTGGCATAGACAGCCTTGGAAATAAACCATCTTGAAATGTTCAAGTTCTGGAAATCATACCACAGTTAGTTTTCACTTGCCATGTATATTCTGAGTCTATACCAAGAATGAAATCATGGTGGGTGTAGCAGCACACACCCTCATTCCCAGCATCCAGGAAGGAAAGGCAGATAGAGATGGAGGAGAGCCTCATCTGCATAGTGACTTCTAGGCAAGCCATGGCTTTATAGTGAATCCTTGTCTCAAAAGAAGACAGAACATCCAGGCGGTGGTAGCATATTCCTTTAATCCCAGCACTCAGGAGGCAGAGGCAGGTGGATCTCTGTGAGCTTGAGGCCAGCCTGGTCTACAGAGCGGGTTCCAGCACAGGCTTCAAAGCTACACCACAGAGAAACCCTGTCTTGAAAATAAAGCAGACAAAACCAACAACAGTGAATGAATCATGGAGAAAGCAGATATTAACGGTAATAGCTAGCTAGTCAGGCAAGCTGCATCCAGGCTTAAAAGCATTTTTATTTTATTTTTTAATAATTTATTTAACTTTATGTGTATTGGTGTGAATGTATCAGATCCACTGGAACTGGAGTTACAGACAGTTGTGAGCTGCCATGTGGGTGTTGGGAATTGAACCTGAGTCCTCCGGAAGAGCAGCCAGTGCTC